TGTCAAGGTCTTTGAATATAAGCATAAATAAAGCGATAAAAACACGACACAATACACAAATACCACCCCCTCCCCACCCCCTTGAAATTGAAAAATTTAATAACTTGTCAGGTTATCAACACAGTGCAAGATTAAGAAGACAACTGTTAGAACCCAAAAGGGGCGAAGGATCTTCACGAACACCGTTAAAAATAAAAAAAACAAAGCTTGGGACTACAGAATCATATTAGAATCGCGAGCCAAGAACTAGTCAATTATAATGAACTCTAATTGGGTCCATTGGGTTAAGATCGTTTTATCCGCTCAAGATTATACCAAATCAATATGTTCTCCCGATCATTCGAGGAAAAAGAAATGAACTAAAGTAGCAAGACCGACCAGCATATTTAGCCAATCAGCCGGTGAGTACAAGACATTGTAGATAAGAATTTTGGTCAGTATATTGGAGAACATAAACCATGGAACTTGAATTTTGGAGCATGAAGCAGTGAACTACCTCCAAAGCAAATAATACACAACCTGATTCCAGAAATTGAGTGAAGAAAGGATATTTTGTTATCGTGACTTCATCCTCAACCACTTGATCCCTCCCCCTTCACCCTTACTCCTTTCTGAAATTTGTCGTTATCCGAAATTCTTGCATTTCTGTGGTGAAAAAAAGGCTATTTCAATTATCCTCTTGTGAGTTGAAAGTAATATGCTATTTCAATAACGAAAATTCGTAATGAATCGTTTTATAAGCAGAAAATACTATAAATTGCATGGCGTCGTCAAACCCATCTCCATGGACAGCATAAACTTAAATCTACAATTCGTTAAACCAGATAAACATTTGCCTACTTAGAATCATTAATTTTCGTGTGGTAAAGCATTTTTACTACAAACCGCTTTTAAAAGCCCACTACAAAAATACGCTGAAATAAGGGCCGGTAAATACTATTTGCTCCCTCAGGATTACCGTTATTACTTCAGCAAATGTCCATTTGATACTCTGGGCTTACTAAATGAAATTTTAATCTCGAATGTGCTTTAAGTAAACTAAATCTAAACTTAGCAGTAGCAAAGTAAGCATTATTTTATGCGAGGTGCATGAATTGTGGCTCACTCTCCCCAGAACGCATTGTGGTTTAGTGAAAAGGCTAAAGTGAATGTGTGTCCAATGGAAAAGTAAACAAATTGTGGACAAATGGAGAAAATAAATCACTATATGTACCCCAACCAGAGTTTAGTAAAAAGAAGAGAGAATCTCAAAACCCGCCTCCTCCCCCCCCCCCCCCCCCCCCCCTCCACATTAGAAACAAGGACTTGGGCAGTACTCGGGTAGGAAAGCGGGGTTAGAAGCATCTCGACTCAAAAATGGACTGAAGCCCCCTCCACTTTATTTCCCAGTAAATCGAGCTAATTTTTTCATTCGTATTTCGATACTATTTCATTATTCAATTTTTTATTTTCTGTTTAAGGCCCAGCGCTATTCTATTTTAATTTAAATAAAAGTTACAAATACCTAAGGGAGAAGATTATAATACAGTTTAAAAATGAATGAGAATTCTGCGCTCGAAATTTTTCTCTAATTTGATTTTATCGAGATCTTCCGTTGTTAATATTTTTTTAGAGATCAGAAATCCATACCGAAATAAAAAGCTTGATTTTTTCACACAAAAAATAGATCTTGAAAGATAATAATAATAATAATAAGTGTTCGATTTAGGTTAAGTTTAGAAATACAAGTCATTGACACCTGTAAAAACAAAGATCTGACATAACATTTGGCGAGGGGTCCAACAGTACACAGGTTAAATATGAATGAACAAAGCTAGTCAGTACTAAAGTCAACTAAAATACAGGGAAAAAATAAATCACGAACTGCTTAGTAGTTAAATAATTCATAGGCACACTACAAAGCAAAGAAATTTGCATTAATCGTTTTGGACAGAGGAGAAGCGCATTTCGGAACCGCTCTAATGCGAAAATCCGCATTCTGTTAAATCTTGAAATCTGGTGGGAATCGAACTTGAGATACCTGAGCGTTGACTACCACGATTTCAATATTAAGATCCATCGTAGTCAATTTACCTCTGATTAATGACAAATAGCTTACGGTAGCTTTGTCTTGAGATGAGGTATTATGTGAGCCACCGAGCACGCTTCCACCACGAAGGAAATGGAGCACAAAGCTGGTAAAATTGCTACGAAGGCAGACCAATTTGGGAGCATAGTGCTACCTAGATCCTAGTGAAGGAATGAAGTTTTTGACACACACCCCCCCCTCCCCCTTTAAGGAAACAACCTATTCAACAAAAGAGCATTGAAGAGCAAGTTTAGTTTACTCGCTTGGTCACCTCACCTGCAAACAGAAGTTTAATATTACTAGACAATGGAAGGTGCGTAAAACTATTAACCAGAAAGAAAGTTGATTCGTCAAAATGCCAAACTGTGTAGTTGTAGGTGAGCAAATTGAAAGCAGAAAATTGCCACAAGAAGAAATGAAATAAGGAAATAGCGGGAGTTGGCACCACATGCAAATTAAACTCAACACGTCCTAAATCATAAAAGCACTATCTTCATACTGTCTAATAGACTTATAAAAAAAGAATCAGCGACTCCAAATTCACAAAAGGCAAGAGCTCTCAACTTTAATATTAGGAGCATTAATAATCTATTTGAATTAATGATAGGGTTCAGAAATTAGAGCAAAATAAGCGATAGATTGGTCCAAAGAATGTCAACAACTGTCAAGTAAGACTCACGAGAGCGGTTTGAAGTCGCGATAACAATGCTTATCGATAAAAATTCCGTGCTATTTAAACTCAACTACATGGGTTAATTCTAGACAATAAGCGTAGGGATTTAATGTATGTAAGAGGGGATATAGACATATATTCATCTTAACAAATAATAAAGACAAATTAATAATTACTGTATCTGCTTTCGTTATTAAAAGATCTAATTTGCCGTCATTGTGTACTGGAATTTTGCCTGCAAAAACACCAACACTTTCTACTTTCGACAATGGCACGCAGAGAAAGCCGCTTCCTATGCGAGACTGCAGTGCGAAAGCGCCTTTAACCGGAAATCTTGCAAGGCCAACAAACTCCAAAGTCATAAAGGGTAAGCAAGAGGCGGAGGGATGGTTTCCTAAGCAAGTATCCCTACTGTGATCACATTTTCTCGCCATCAGGAGTTCACCCTCTTTATGCTAAAAGTGGATCTTTTAGCATTACATTAGTGAAGTAACATCCAAATCATTTACGCAACTCTTGAATCATCATAATGACGGGGTAATATTTTTTAAAACACACTAAATTAGCTATCCCAGCTCTGCTGTGATAAGAACAAAAGTAAGATTAGTCTGCTCACTTAAACTTTGCAAGAAAACTAAACAGCTGATCAATAGGCACTGGACATTGTAGGTAAACATTCGCTACAATCCCGTACGCGATTCATGATATTTGAATTTTAGGACGCAAACTAGTCATTTAGCAAATATTATTCAACCTGAATTCAAAAAAGAACAAATGAAAAGACATTGATACCTCGACATTAGTCTCGGTAATTTTAGATCCCCTCTTCCATAGATTAACTGAAAAAAGCTGTTAACTGATTTCAACTGTTTCCCGTTGTTAAAACAAGATGTTTATGCATTATTGTGGTGTGCCACTAACGCTTAAATTAATATTAATAGAGAGAGAGAGAGATTGAAATAAGTCACTAATTGAGAGGAGAAACAAAAGTGATCAAGGAAAGGATACTCAAGGCACGGCCTTATAATTGCACCAATGGTATTAGTAAGCAAGACACGGTTTTCCTAAGACAGCTCTTAAACCTGACGAAAGCATTCCAAAATAGGTATAGACGTCTATGGACAGAATATTGAAGAACAACAACACATCTTTGGATCCGATCAATTTTTTCTAATAAGACACATTTTGAGCTTTTAAAATATACCGACCCTTTACAAAATATGCATTGAAATTAGTTCAAAGACAAAGAGAAGATAAGAGCTTAAAGAAAGAAACTAATGAAAAAACAATTTTTTAATGAAAAAAAAAGTTTGCGTACAAAGCCATTCTCTTGACTGATACCAGATAAAATCGTCAAAAACGGCATTAATTATTAGGCGACACAGACTAATTAGTCTCCCCCCAAGGAGAAAACTCCCTTGGCAAAAATTAGAGAAAATCCTCCTGTAAGTTGGATATAAGCCTGTTTCAATTTTTGAGAAAAGCGTGCAAAAAAACGAGAAAATCTAAAGCAACATTTTACTTTGCGATAGCCTAAATGTCCGACAATGAATGTTGAAGAACTTGGAGCACTAAACGAAGTTAGAATTGTCATTTTAAAAAGAATGGTATAAATCAAGATATTTAAAAATTCATGAAAACCTGGTAAGTGTGCTAACAGGGAGAGAGAGAGAGAGCAATGAATCAATAAATTAAGGCGAGAGATGATTAAACCCCGAAAGAAATTAAACCGATTAATAAATTGTAATTGCGTAACACCATTGGTTAGATTTAATATATAATCGTCGTAAAAACAGTACTGATTAACATTTTATTTAAAACAAAGTGGTGAATATAGAATTTCAGTCGTAAATAATAAAATAGCCGAGTAAGTTGTCAAAAAGTCGAAAAGGGGAAGATAAATCTAATTTACCCCCTTTTTCCAACACACATCAGCTCTATTTGCTTATCAAAGATAAAATGGACATAGACTGAGAGAGAGAAAGAGAAAATTGCTAATGATTTCCTTTATGCCTCCATGCAAAAAATATCGTGGTAGAGAAAAGACCAAAGCGAAGCTCTTAATGCAACCCCTCAAAGGGAAGACAAAAAAAAATAATGGAACATAAATAATGGACATACGCAAAATAAACCGATCATCATCAATATTAAAAAAAAGATTCAACATTTCATTATGCACATGATTTTTTTGCAGAGCGTCAAATACAACGAAATAGGGAGCGTGTGTGCAAGAGAGAATGGGAAGAGGGAAACCCCAGTTCATACAAAGTTTGGATTATTAGGGTTCCGAGTAGAATTCATTGTGGAAACAGTGACTTCCCGAGTTAATAAGGGGCGCGATAGACCCTGCTTTAAATTCTCTGCACCGCGAAAGAGATTCAACAAGTCGATAGGAAGAGGAAAGATGATAGTGGAGTTCTTTTCGGCGGAAATACCCGCAAGAGTTTGGAGATATCTCAACTGTAGTGCAATAGGACAAGCGGAAATCTCTAAGGCCGCAGCTTTTAGAGATTTTGAGGCGTCTTCTTCTCCTTTAGCCGCAATAACCTTAGCTCGAGCCTCTCTTGTAGCTTCAGCTTCAGCAGCCATTGCACGTTGAAGCTGCAGAGGTAATCTAACATCCTTAATTTCAACTCTCTCTACTTTAACTCCCCAGGTGTCTGTCGCAGTATCTAGTGTCTCTTGCATCATTGCAGCTATCTCCTCTCTATCAGTGAGTAGAGCATAGAGATCCACAGTACCAAGCACATTTCTCAATGTGGTTTGAGCCAGCAGACGAGTTGATCGATTAGCATTTACAACATTAACCACTGACATGACAGGATCAAAGATTCGATAGTAGACAACAGCCTCTACGGCAACAGTCACTGAATCTTTTGTAAGTACCTCCTGGGTTGGCACATCGAATGTGAAAGTGCGAAGATCCACCCTACGCATTCGATCAAGAAAAGGGAGCTTAAAAATAAGACCGGGTCCAAGTGCAGAACTAGATATTAGACGACCAAGACGAAAAATCACTGCCCGTTCATATTGGGGTATAACTCTAAGGCAGGCAAGAAGGGAAAAAGGAAATCCAACAACTACCAAAGCGATAGTAAGAATTTTTAAGAAGCGTTCACAAATTAAGGCGCCAAAAACAGAGAGACTTTCTCGATCAGCTCGACGATTTCTCAAGGCGGCTAATTGGGTATCTGTGAAACGTTCGGGCACGAGGGAAAAACCCCGTTTGAGAGGTTTACGAGATGGGAGATGGACGTCGACTTCGGGGTGTGCTAGCATTACGTCAGGTGCAAAACATTCCAGAACTAGGAGGAATAGATAGGAAAACAGGACCTAGGAAGTGTCCATACTGGAAGTAAAATCAAAAGAATATTGCCTTAATAAAGATAATGGCATTGGCCAGGAGTTTTGACCAATCAAAAACATCCAAAAGGGTGTTAAATATTACTACTGAAACCTCATAAGTAGTAAGAGCAAAACATAACGTGAAAGATTTCGAAAAATACCATGATTAAAGGAAAACTCGAACCATGAAAATAATACGAAATTTTTACTTAAGTTCGCGATATAGAGGAACGAAAAAGTCCTTAGCTAATGACCAAGAACAAAATCACAGCTAGAGTCAATATGGCGAAATTCAGGGGATGCTTTAAATTAGGAAAGCAAAAATTCATAAGTAAGGAACCCGATAGCTCATTGAAAACGGTTGAAAAGACGTAAACACTGATAAAGGTATTTGAAAAAAATGAAATGCCAAAATGATTCCATATTAATAAGCCAATAATTCATTTATATTAAGATTAGCTTGTAAATAGAATAATATAATTGCAGGTAAAATGGGCAAAAGAAACAGCTTGAACTCACTTGCGAATTTTATTACACCAGCGGGTGAATATAGGAGACTTTTGAAAAGCAAGCACCATATTTAGCTGAGGAACAGATCGACCAGTGGATAGAGGTCGGACGTTTTCTTTCGACAGGTCCCATTCGAAATCTATGTTTTTTCCAGACTTCATCCTATTAAATGAATTATCGCGGTAACTGATGCTAAACACAGTCCATTCAAGGACATAAGTCAAATTCCAAGCTTAGGATTGGCTCCTGCTTCAGGTTTAAATGTAATTCCACCAAATATGATTTACTAAACAACTTTAATTTCTACTTTTGTAGTTATTATGTTTTTCTAACCTTTTGTTGGTTTTGTAATTTAAGGTTCATTAACATATTCATAATTATTATCTTATTTTAAAAGTTAATCAGCATAATAATACTCATACATAATTTCAATACCTATATTAATTAAATATTTTCTAATTGTGACTCAATATTTAATCAAGTATTAGGCTTACGTTCAATCATATTATCGGTTATTCTCATACTCATACAGCAAAGAAGTCTATTAATTGGAAGTTGACTTTTGCCTTCAAACTACCATGACCGGACTACATGTTATATACCACCCCTTCCATAGTACTCGTCTTACCTTCTCTCTGCCTTTGTGTCTGTCTGTCTCTTTTACATCCGTGAATCATTATTCTGTCCCCTTCCCTCTCTCGACTTTTTGTTACTTTGATGATCCTCCTCCTCTCTGTGAAACCCGAAGTCAACCAAAGGGCTAATGATAACTATCGAAACGACTTACATTTTAAATAAATAAATAAGTATAGAAAATGATGTCAGATTTGTTTCAGTAAAATTTCATTTTCACTTTCAGATCCAATTTTTAGATGATCAACATTTTTAGGCATGTCTAGTTTTATTTCTATTTGATTAAATGATATCCACACTGAAATTTGTTCTTGAAATTCGGTAATGTAGACTTAAGTCGACAGTGGCGTTACTTGGTGATGGTGAAATCGAATCAAATGGAAAGTGGACTTATGCAACCTATATTTTACAGTATTTGTTAATGCGAACCCAAAATTTGAAGCTTGCCAGTACTCCAAGTCTTTAACCTGAATTGCCTCAAGTTTGCATTTTATTTACTCTTATTTAACCTAAGTAGGTTTAAATCGTTCTACTTTCGATATCCATATTGGTCAGTAGAGATGGATAGCTAGTTTTCATGTTAATATAGATTAAAAAGAATCATCCGGATTATTTCTCCATTGTGTTTAGATTCCAGTTAAACCCATTTGTTATTAGTAGTTTAATGGGGAATTTTTGTTTTCTGTTTGACATTAGTCATTCGAATAGTAAAGAGGCACATCCCTGTGAACTCTCCTACTTTGCACCCAGGGGAAAATAAATTTTTAAAACCTATTATCTCGACCTTACTGTGTTACTTTATCCTTCTGTGACCTCAAGTTGCCCCCAGAGAACTATTGTGTGTCCTCAAGTGGTTTATTTTAAATAGTTAATCCTTGAATGAGCTCTGTTGGGGTTCAGCTCCCCCCGATCGGTAATATCCAGAACCATTTATGCTACCCTTTCTCTAAAAACTCCTTGCGAAACATATACATTAGTCATTTGATGATCATTTCGCTTCCTTCTAATTTCCTCTGTTTCTTACATTCTTCTTAATTTCTCAAATTCTAATCATTATTTACTCTATACACTTTGGCCTACACAGGTCACTGTATTTAAATTCAAGAACTGTTGTTTGTTGTGTCAAATGATAGTTAATAGGTGTTATTCCTACATCAGCTGAACTTTTACAAAGCGTTTGTTTATCAAATTAGGAAAAGTAACCTCAAATCTGATCTGCGATTTCACAGTCAACTTGTCATATCCTAAATAGCAATTGCATATGAATTTCTTTCTTGCCAATTGAGTACTCTATTTTTAATCTGGGGTGTGTGATAGACTTACCTCCACGTGGTGCACCCTGGGCAACGTATACTCATACGGCAAAAGTCTATTACCTGGCAGTTGACTTCAAACTACCATGAACCCACTGTATGTCATATTCGAATGCTTTCACAGTACTCATCCCACCTTTTTTCCACCTTATCTACCCTCGTCTTTGATACACTCTTCTGTTCCCCCCCCCTCTTGAATTTTTTACACTTGGATGTTCCTTCCCCTCTGTGAACACTGAAGTCAACTAAAGGGTTTTATTATTATATCAAATGGCAGGCTTTTAGATGGTTATCATTAGCCCTTTAGTTGACTTCAGGATTCACAGAGGGAAGGAACATCATAGTGAAAAAATAGTCAAGAGGGCGGGGGGTGGAACAGATGAGCGTTACAAAGATGTAAAAGAGACAGACACGATGCTAGAAAAAAGGTGAGGTAAGTACTGGGGAAGCAGTCGAATATGACATACAGTGGTGTGATGATAGTTTGAAGTGAGAAGTCAACTGCCAGTTAATAGACTTTTTGCCGTATGAGTATACGTTGCCCAGGGTGGACCACGTGGAGGTAAGTCTATCGCACACCCCGTCAACTAAAGGGTTAATGATAACAATCGAGACGCCTGCCATTTGATATAATAATAATTTTTTAATCTAATTTTCTCCCTTTGATAATGATTTTTCATGTCAGTTGTCAATGCTAAAATATGTCATTTTGAGTGTTTACTCGATTGCGTGATTAAGTATCATGTTAAGTTGAATGTAAGGTATTAATCTGAAACACGGACAAGAATTTTAGCATAACGTATTACCTTGTACTAATTATAAGCTACAACAAATATCAAATTTCATGTAAAATTAACAGTAATGAGTATGAAAAATAAAAGCCAAATCAATGGTGCAGATAGTTAGTTTAGTTGGATAATTAATAAGAAAACATATTGAAAATGGATATCACCTGGTGAATTATTAGTTTTATTAAACAAGTTAACACATATTTTAAGTAAATTTTGCATCTCTTATCATTGAAATTAAGTAGAAAAGTCGAAAAAGCAGGGCAAGTTGCCCATTGGATGAATTTAACTGATTCAAAAGTGGAGAAGGTTCATTACAATCAAGCACAGTGTAATTTACTGTAAAACGCGTCCATTGTTTAGCGAATAACTAATCTGACTTCGATAAAATTTCAACAACGGAGATTACTTAAACCAATTTTAGCTGCGACAATAGAATTTCGTATTTCACCGTTCATTCACTAATTGAAATATGCCACTAAAGTGGGACAATTTGCACTATGAACCAATTTTCGAAAATAAGTTGTTCTCTAACTTGACTTCTATCTTAAGCATCCAGAGTGTGCTGGCATATTTAAAACATCCGAACTAGCTATAAAATCCTAAACCTAAAAGTAAAAAATAGATAGCTTATAGGTTGGCTCTGCACCAAGATAATGCACTTAAACAATCCTACTATTAAACGCTTATTAGTTTATTTGATATTGCTTAGATAAAAACTGTTCATTTTCATTAAGCACCAACTAGCGAAAGTTGTTTATCCACACGTCCAAGCATTGGACCCACCTTGAGTCTTTTTCAAAGTCCTTTGAAGCATCCGGAGTAACAGATAGTTAGATCATTTTTTTAGTTTCCAGATTTCTAGAGGGAGTAGATAGGAGAAGCCACTTGAATTCACATAAAACTCTCTTGGATTCGTGTTCGGTTTCGAAGAATCGGTTGATTATCGATTTTTTTCGAAGGCCCACAGTAGATTTGACACCAGCGTGAGGCATCTTTCGCTACCTAATGTGTGAAAAATTAAGAATCTCTTCCGGTGCCTCCTGCCCCGTGTTGTACGAAGTTGCCTCTTCACATAATCAAAGAGTTGTGTATACTGACCATTGCGATTTGGCGTGGAGTATGCAGTGGAGATATTAAGACTATGAAAAATTCTCAAATAGAGAAGGGGAGAACTTTCGCGTTTTAGCCAGAAATTTTGATTTACATTTTGAACAAGCAGACTGGATGTTGGGAGTGACTACTGCCTGGCCACAGTAGGCTTGGAGTTATGTCATTCTGAAGAGACTCTAAAAAAATTCAAATCCTAAGAGTCCAAATGAGAGAGATGAAAATCTCGTGTTGAAGTACGGGAACCAGTTGTTTTAGATGTGTTAGAAATATCAGAAGTCATGTTAGCCCAAAGCTGGGAGGAAAGAATAGTGAAATCATCTGTGGGGTGAATAATCAAGGCCATTTTATGGCTTTTGGAGACATTATAACCTTGAAAATCTCCAAAATGACCTCAAATCGCATAACTCTATGCAAACACGGAAATGCCTCGAAGATGAACTTTACTACAAAAAGCAAGCAAAGAAAATACTCTCCAAATTTGACAAATTTAAACAAATATTCAAAGTTTATTAGGAGTCAACTATAAGTTGCTAACTTAATTGTTCTTTGTTAATGGTAAGCATTTATTTATTTCAAATGGAAGGCGTTTGATAGATATCATTAGCCATTTAGCTGACTTCGGGCTTCACAGAGGGAAGGTTCATCAAAGTAGCAGAAAGTCGAGGGGTGGGGAAGAGAAGAGTGATGCACAGATGTAAAAGAGGCAGACAGACAAAAGGTTGAGATAAAGGTAAGGTGAGTACTGTGAAAGGGGTCGAATATAACAACCAGGGGGTCGTGGTAGTTTGAAGTCAGAAGTCAAATGCCGGTTAAT